TTGAACTAAAGTCAATGTTTATTTAGACTAAAAATGATTCAACAAAAATTATTTTGACCACATTCATTAAAAACATCCTTAGAGTTCAGCCTACCCCCCCCCCAACCCCCCCCCCTTGTTTTTTTTTTTTAAATAAATGAAAAAAATATAATTTGACCCTTTTGTAAAACCGTCAATTTTCTTTTTAAGGAGGAGGTTTCTTTAAAGTACATGAATAATGCTTCAACCTTTGACAACTAGTCCTTAAGAAAATAAATAAAATCAGTCCCCAAGTCCCCAATTTTAACTTGGAAAATCTTAAGAACCAAAAATAGAATTTTAGTGGCTACTTATTCTTGCAAGTCCCATTTCCTAATAGCTCAAAAATACAAAAAGAATTTTCATAATTTTTCAAAAGTCATTATATTAGATCATTTAATATTCAGGTTATACACACATGAGGCTCAAAAACAATACAAAAAGTCCAAGCAAGTCCAAGTTTTGCCTGTGATTTGGGCACGTATTAACTGTCTATATCATCCAAAAAATACATAACACGTGCAATCCTCCATTCCTTCAGATTCAGTTCTGGGGATTACTTGTATGTGGTTATTAGACAGATATCTGATTTGGAACATGGTAAAACAAGATTAAACTTTAATAATGGTTCCGATCAAGATGTATTTCCTCCAGTGGCTTCTTTAAAGGATCAGGGTGTCATCTTCAGCTATCTATGATAGCTGTAAAAATAACAAAAGTTTATGTATTACTATTGAATAAGTGATACAGTAGTAGATTAACACACATGTACATCCTATCTTCTGTAAAGGTTGCATTTACGATATACATGTATGCATGTATAATTTCCACCATGCTAGTCAATGTTAATAATTACATGTAGCATGAACCAGTTACATATATGCAGACAAGGGAACAATTCAGATATATGAACAAGCTGCAAAATATATATAGGAGTTCTGGATTCTGGAGTGGGGGTGGGGTGGGTTCAATTTTCATAGACAAACATCACTTAATTCCTCCTTCATATGTATGACTCTCTTTTGACCAAATAATGAGGTCTGGTTTCCTGAAGATGGAGGGGTGGTATGATAATTTTATTGATTACTCTATTATATACATTTTATAAACTTGGGAATTGTACCCAATAATTCATATATTTTTTTTTTTCAATTCATAAGTTTTATTCACACTTTTACATAATTATATTAACACTCAGACATATATTGATTTATAAACTACCTACACATTTTCAATCATACTTCCTTTCATATAGATTCAACAGAATCCACTGTTTTCTGTAGAATAACTTTTCATTGTGTCAAGATATATTATTATTTCATCCAAAACTTAAAGGTAAATAAATTCGATGCTATTTTTCAACATTGAATTGGTATCAGTACCATTCCCAATCCATTTTGGCATTTGGTAGGGAAAAAACCCTGTTGTTGCATTGATTGTATGGAAGATGCAGGAGAAAAAAATAAGATTTGAACAAAGTTTTAGTTTTAATGTGAAATAATATAAACTCTGATTTATAAAAGAGGAAGGGGTGAGTAAGAATGACTTTTTTGTGTGGTTAGGGACTTTAGTCTTACCTGCAGTGTGACCCTATGACCTCTTTATACACTGTATATATTCACAAACATCATAGACATATCTCTAATTATTTTAAATATCACTATAGCATTTATCTATCCTTAGTTGCATTAAGAGTAATCTAACAATTGCTGAATTAAACATTAGTGGTCATATAACAGGTTGCTCACAAGCTGTAGGTATGTTGCATCACTTATGCAGTCAGTGTTTGTATCACATCATGGGAAAGAGAAATGAATCTGTGAGTACCTTCCTAATCTTTAATTTTGTTTTAAAAAGATGTGATGTGGCATTATCCTGTTATTCGCTCCGCGGAGTGGATAATATTTGACGTTGTTGACGTTACGTCAAAGCAATCCTTGGATGAAATATAGCAAATTAAACTAAAAGAAACCTGAAATACCATCCATTTGTAGGTGAAGGTCAAACTTAAAAATAAGTTATGTGAAACTAATTACAGGAATACAGAAATGCATACCTAACAAACACCTATATAATAAAACTGCAAATATGAAGTGTTGTGTGTTATTTGTAACATTTAAAAAAAAATAAAAGATTTATTTCACATTTTATTAAAGGAAATTTTATTAAAGGAAATTTGAAAAAGGGGGTCTTTATATACTCCTGTTATTCGCACCGGTGCGAATAACAGGAGTATATATATACAGACGATGTTCCGGATTTCAAGCCAATACGCTCTGGAAAGGGAAGATTTCCCGGGAAAAGGGTTTCTTTGGGGGAGACCATATATAAAAATGGGGCTTGGAAATTTTTGGGGGGAGATTTCAGTGTCAAGGATACTTAATGAATGAATATAGAGCCATACTTATTCGCACCGGTGCGAATAACAGGAGTATATATATACAGACGATGTTCCGGATTTCAAGCCAATACGCTCTGGAAAGGGAAGATTTCCCGGGAAAAGGGTTTCTTTGGGGGAGACCATATATAAAAATGGGGCTTGGAAATTTTTGGGGGGAGATTTCAGTGTCAAGGATACTTAATGAATGAATATAGAGCCATACTTATTCGCACCGGTGCGAATAACAGGAGTATATATATACAGACGATGTTCCGGATTTCAAGCCAATACGCTCTGGAAAGGGAAGATTTCCCGGGAAAAGGGTTTCTTGGGGAGAGACCATATAAAAATGGGGCTTGGAAATTTTGGGGGAGAAGATTTCACTGTCAAGGATACTTAATGAATATTGAGCCAAACTTATTCGCACCGGTGCGAATAACAGCAGTATATACATATTCATTGTATTACGAATTTCTAAATTTACCGTATAAAATTTCATGGATCACACTTGTGAGAATATGTACATAATATGTAGACGATTCTGGGGCCCGTTTTACAAAAGAACTTACGACCAAGACCAAAATCTTTAGTTGATTGTAAAATTTTGCAAACTTAATGATTCTGTTAAAAATTGCCAGTGTAAAAATATCTTCCTACATTCCTTATAAAAACATTAAAACCATTTTCAATATAATGTAAATAAGAAAGTTATAAGCAGAATTAAATTTTGGTCTTAGTCGAAAGTTCTTTTGTAAAACGGGCCCCAGCTTCCCATATGAAAGAAAGACAAAGTTGCACATACGTTTATATCTATTTATGTTCAGATAAAGAAAATACATACAAGTTTGAATATATACATGTCAAATCAACACACAATGAAAATGTTTCCTTAATTTTGAAATATTACATTATATTATTTGAAAATATTAAAATTGGAAAATAACTTTAATTTGTATACATATGGGAAAGTGCTGTTTGTGCACGTTTTTCTTTTTGTTCTCCAACTATCTCGGTACCAGGAAGGGGACTTGGGTCATGGAATTCCTTCCCAGGTATGAAGGGCATATTTAATACAGAAAATTAGAAAATAACAAATTACAAATTAACATATTTACAGATTAACACATTTACAGATTAACATATTTACATTGAATTTTTCAAGTCCATTTTCTGTTAAAACAATGTACACGGTATATACATTTATATGCAAAGAATTTAGGGCGTGTTTATAAATTTCAGTAATTTGTTCGTCTACCTCCACTTGTTATTAATAAAATATCATAAAATGTTTAATCTACCGCGAAACTCATACAAGATTATCCATGTACGTGACTTGGCATGGTTTTCCCCATTCTCACGCAATCTGACGTGCCTCAAATGAACAGAAAAGAAAATCTAAAACTAGTGTACCTCACTTGAATAGAAAACAATTGTTGAATGCGAACAAAGAGAAACGGTGAACAGTACTCATGCAATTGTTAGTAATGGAATGGCAATGTTAGTAAAAATTTTAAAAACGTAATAACTGCAAAACAATGTTAACAGGTTAATAAAAGAAATTAATGAACTATTAGTTTTACCTAAACCCGTAAACTAAAGACAGAACTGCATTTTAATACTGAAACTATGGTGCAAATGTTTTAAAAGTAAAATACAAAAGTGCCTGGTTTAAAATGCGTTGGAATTGTGCGACATATGAATGCCTAAAAAAAAATCCTTTTCTTTTTTTTTTTAGAATTTGAATTTACAGTTTAATCCGTTGAGATATGCCTCCGGTTTCACTATTGTTTGCCTGTTATTAAGTCTGTTATTAAGTCTGATAAATGCTTCCTTTTTGTTTTCCTCCTCTCGATTTTTTTTCTACACGTAATAAACGCTATACAGCCTTCCAAATATATTTCATTACAAGAAGGGGGGTGCATAACTTTATGATACGGTTTATTCCGTAAAATTATTTAGAGATTAACTTGAAAAGATACACTTAAATTTCTTTCGTGTAGGACCTGCGAGGGAATGGCCGACATTAGTTAGAAGACTATTTTGGAGCCAGTGTTTAACTCACTGGGAGAGGCTACTAATTTGTACGTTTGTGTACGTGAACGGCTTAAATCCAGATGTTTTTATGCATTGGGGGATGTTGATGGGCCTGGCTAGGGACAAAGCGGCGCACAGTCATTTCCGTGCCATTTTCAGGTATGTTAATTTCCTTCAAATTTGAAATTTATTAATTTCTTCTATGGTTAGAATTTAATCCGTATTTCAGATTATTCCATGCTGGACGTAACTACACTCTATATGCATGGAACGTTAGCCAGAGACAATATCAGTATTTGGATGGGAGGAGGAGGCGGTATCTTCCGCGTGACGAAAGAAAAAAAACAGAAATAACAACAAATGAAAAACTCGGAAACATAACAAATAAATTTACAAAAATTCTATTTACAGTCCTTGTTTTTTAATGGTTAGTGAGCAGACTTTAAGGGTAAGTATCTGGTTAGATCCAGTTTTTAGGTTATTGTTATTTAAAATTAATGAAGAAGCTCCACCCCCTCTCCTTATAAATACGCGCGATTTTGTCCGTCGTCAGTTGTCCAGTTCAGTCATGTCGGCAAGGAGAGGTGGCGGAAGTTACCGAGAACGACGAGTGGAGAACATCTTAGATGTGCAACCAAGAGAATTTGGAAATCCCTGGAATTTCTACGCTCTCTTTTCAAGAAGTGAAGAAGATGTCCATAGATGGTGCAGAGAAAATGGCATCCTGGCTACCACATTTCAGTGCCCATACAACTGCGATGGACAGATGAGCCTGAAGGTCCTTGCTCGAGCTCCTGGAGGCAGCATTTTTAGATGTACAAAGAATAGGGACCATACCAAGTCATCACGTACTTACTCCTTCTTCGACAAAAGTAATTTAATGCTGCAGGATATTATGGTTTTCATAAAGTCGTACCTGGAAAAGAGCAGCCTTGCGCAATGTGTGCGCTTTTCAGGTATGGCCTATGGTACAACAGCTGTCAACTGGGCAAGCTTCACTCGGGAACTCTTCAAGGAGTATTTTTATACAAATCTGCGGTACAGAAAAATGCAGGGGGTTGTGGAGATAGACGAATCCCTATTTGGCAGGAGGGTGAAATTCCATAGAGGAAACCCTAATCGTGGATTAAAGGTATTAAAGTTAAAAAATATTAATTAGAATGGTGTTTCTCACCAAATGAAAAGTAATGTTGAACAAGGATAACATGAAATTGAAGCAGGTGTGTATTTCAGTACAAAATTAAAGAAAAAAAAAATATGTGTGCCTCACTCTTTGAACAAGCTTAAAAAACAACACATTTATCTTCTTATTAATTCCATGTTTTCCTGACCAAGTTCAAATAAAACATTTAATAACAGTAAAAAGGAACAAGGATCTATTTAGTTTCAGTAAATCATGTGCAAGAAATAAAAGTAAAGTAAGTGTGCCTCACCAAATAAAACGATGATTCAAAAATACAATGCAGAAATCATTTACAAATCAAAGTAAGTTGCTTAGTGTGCCTCACCAAATAAACAGATGATTAAAAGAACAATGCAGAAATCCTTAAAGCATGCAATTATGTATCTCATATGACACAAAACAAATTTGTCATGTTCAAAAGTTAAGAACACAAATTTTTAGTATTAGTTGAAAGATATTGATTAGTATTAAATAACATGATTTTAAAAACAAAGAAATGAAAAAGGTTACCTATTTACAAGGATACTTAATTACAGTATATCAATTTAAGAAACATTTTTCAGTATATCAATTTAAGAAACATTTTAGAAGAAATACTATTTACATATGTAACAATTTTTTTTTTCACTCTGTGTAGATTTGGATATTTGGGATGGTCGAAAGAGACAGCAATACTTTGGTCATGTACCCTGTGTCAGACAGAACAGAAGATACACTTCTTCCAATTATCGAAAGGCACGTAGAAAAAGGGTCAACTATTTACAGTGATGGGTGGTCCGCCTACTGTAAATTGAACGACGCAGGATACGACCACTTCACTGTTTTGCACAAGTACTCGTTCAAAAAAACGTATATAAACACCAAGTCACAAGAAGTAGTTGAGGTACACACCAACAGAATCGAAGGGGCCTGGAAACATGCCAAAGACCACTTCAGGAGACTGGTGGGTACCAAACTTTCACAATTTGAAGGGCATCTAGCGGAAATAATGTGGAGATCGGCAGAGAGGGGTAACATCTACGAGGCCTTTTTTAATCTTTTGAGAAGTGTCTACCCATTGGATAGTCCACCTCATTACACATACCCAACGCCACTCTTCAATACTTGGGAAGGAATTCCAGAAAGCCAGTCTAAAATTGACGACTGGGAAATTAGACCAGGTATTAATGTGCAGAGTATTTTAAATTTTATAATGTGCACATAGATTTGTCGTTTAGTATTCACTTTCTTATCCTTTTTTGCAGAGAACACTGATGCCGAAAGCGAGGCTGAATCGCAGATTGAGACAACTTCGGCTGAGTTGTTTTCAGGCTTAGTGGAGGAAGATAGCTCAGCTATTATGCCCAACAGGGAACTTTCTTCAAGTGAACTCCAGGAGCGGCAGTTGCTGCAGAAGTCCACTTTGGATAAAGTGTCGCAGGAGATGCTTGAAGGGTCTGGGAGCGAGGATGAAGGGGACACCACTCTTACAGAACTTACAGTTCCAGGAGGTAAAGCCTATAAGAAAAAGTATTTAGGAGTTTTAGTGTCTCATGGCTTTAATCCAATAATGAATTTTAACAACTATATATTATATAAATTACCAAAATCATTAATTTCTATTTTATAGTTTCAAAATCCATTCCTCAAGAAGGAAGACCTGTACATGTGGAAGGTATTACAATAAAACATTTTGAAAATTTTTCAAGGTGTCTTTAATAGCATTAGCATTAAGTAATAATAGTAATCATCAAATATACCATTTCTGTCTTCATAGCTCGAGTGTTAATCCAAAATAAGGCCGGTCCAAGGAGCCAAGATGCATCATCTGATAAAGGTATCAAAATAAAATTACTTTTAAATGTGTTAATTATAATATATATACACATTTCCAAAGAAAAATTTTAAAAAGTAGATGAATATTTCAATATATTACACAATGGAAAGAAAACACTGTAATGAAATTAAACATGCCATGTTTTGTTTATTAAAGCTGCAATGAAGACTACAAATGGGCAAGACACAAGCACCATACAAACTAGAAAGAGCACCAGGAGGAAAAGTATGCAATATCTTCTTAGAAATAAATCATACATTTAATAAATCCATGATATTTTAATGTATAAAACAATTCAAAATTAATTTAAATTTAACTTAAATTAAAATTAACTAAATAACAAATGCATTAAAACATTACCATTTTTTAGAACCACTGAGTTCTGGGACCAGAAATCCTATTATTATTTCCTCAGAGGAGGATATTCCAGGGCCATCTGCAGAGGCAACGTTGCGTCCTGTCCCATCAACACTCTCAGCTCCTAAAAAAACAACTAAAGCAGGTACTACTTTTTTTAACAAGTGCAGTTACTTTTGTGAATTTTTTTTTAGCTAAATTTACTTAAATTTCACAGTAGTTTTACATTTACTTTAATGCAATGTACATAATGAACGCAAAACAAATTTGAAATTCTTAGTACTTTTTTGTTTTAAACCCTTTTCCAGTTACAAAGAGGATGCGCACTGATAAAGTATGTCATCCTGCTGACTTCAAAGAGAAGGAACCATCAAGACGAGGGAAAAGAAAGACAACTCTTTCCAACCCATACGCCAAAACAGCCTTTGTATGGACGTCAGATGATGACGATTTCCAGTAGTGGAATGTTTATTCTACAATAAATATGTGCCAAATTTTATTAACTCAATGAAATTGTTTACTTGTTTTTTAAAACGTATTTAAAGTAAACCTATGCGTTTTATTAAAGAACTTATGACTTTGACCCTACATCGAAGTATGGTTTAGCGAATAATTCTTGCTTCAATTACGAAAAGGTGCAATACAATTTTGAAAGAAATCAATTACTTCTATATAATTTAGAAAAATCGTCTTAATCATAAGTTCTTTGGTAAAACGGAGATAACTTACAGTTATTGATACATTTAGTGATGCTTCAGGTCCGTTATTTAAATCAATATGGCGGTATTCTTACAATGCAACGAAAACACAAATTGATTTATAAAAATATCCCACGCAAGTCAGCGATACATTTAAAAATATGTTTAATTTATTAGATTACTTTATCATAAATTTATTGGACGTAATTAAATTACATTCTCACCTTCCATACATTCCCGATGGCTGCAAATTTCATTCCTATCTTTGACCTATTCATCTTTGACAATATGGCATCTACCGGAAAAAAACCGTTAGGAATATTTTTCCCACAATGCATCGGTAAATGATTTTTCATTGGATAAAGCACTTGACATTATCCAATCAAAATATAGATATTTTTATAAAGAATGAACTAAAATCCCCAAAATTAAGTAAGAAGAAGAAATGTTTTATGGATGCGATGCATCACTATTAGAAAAAATATTGCGATAAAAAACGGAATAAAGGTAATTTTTTTATGTCTGGAATATTTAAATGCACAAAATTTAGTATGAAAACAAAATGGGAATAACGTCAACAACGTCAAATATTATCCACTCCGCGGAGCGAATAACAGGATAATGCCAAACTTGTCAAAAGTTTACCCAAAAATGTACATGAAAAAAAAAAAACATATTCAACATACCACTATCTGTTTTTGTTCAACTACTCCAAGTTGGAAGTTTTCCTTTTTCTCCCGCAATTCCTCTATTGTTGTCTGTTTCATTCTTTCTGACCTCCTTTGCTAGAGAGCTCTTGCAAGGGAGGTAATCCAATCATTTTTCAACAGTGTTTTACAACAATTCATTCAGATATTTTTTCTGAAAGTCTTGATTGTCTACCCAATTTTATTTATTTAATTTATTGAACAGAGTATTCTCCTTCTACAGATATATGTAGAATTTTCTAAAGTTGTCTGGATTTTGCAAACTACATAGCTCTTCATGCAATATAATTCTATAGGTAAAATCTAATAAAAATCAATTACAAAATAAATTTTCCTTATAAAACAGAAAAATGTATTTCAAAGCACTTTATGACCCACATTATAAAATTATACATGGAGTTTGGATGTAAAATACATGAATTATAACAGGATAAGGCAGTTCAAGTATTTCTGTAATAAAATATAGCAAATTCCCTGGTTGACATGGAAACAAGAGGTCATATGCCTGGGTAGGTATGTTTTTTTGAAAGACTATTCATATGCATCATGTTCACAAAATTTGAGCTAGAAATATTTTTTTCCACTTTCCATGTTTATATAGCATGAAGCTCAATGCTTAGTGACATGCTCTCTTAAAACTTAAAAGAAATGAAACAAATCTCGTCTCAGTTGTACAGTTCTTAAGCCTAGGATCTAACAGATGGATATCAATAGCTTTATGTGTGATATTTAATATATCAACACACTTATGATGAAATGCGATATGCCCCCTTGTGGCTATAAATTGTAAACTGTCGGTCATGGGATAATTTAAGAAACAGATATTATACAGTTGACTGTGTTAAGGACACTAGTTGATGCATGGTACCGGTGTGCAAAGTGTTGTCCAAGGCCTAACTGTCCTTTTAGATCGTATGTGGCCATAAAACCCAGTCATCAAATGTTTGTTACACCCATATAAAATATCTCTTAATCAGCATTGTATACAGATATAAATAAGATTTTAAAACTTTTGTTCCCATTGCACGAAGAAAACGCCATTCGTGGTGCAATTCGTTCTGTGTTATGTCGTGTGATTTTTCGAAAAAAAAATATTGATCGATTAATCCATATCCATATCGTATGAAAATCGTTATATTTGATGGTACATACTTTTGCATGTACATATTTTGTTCGAGCCAAATAGTAAAATTTACGACGCATTTCAACTGATCAACTGATGGGTTGAATTGAATAGACCAGAAAGGTCACGTTACAATAACCGAGAATGTTTTAATCTGTTTTCACAACATTTTTAAAAACGATAATCCGTTTTAACTCCATGATCCCAAGAAGCCAAAGGGTTTCTTAACGATCCATTTAACAGTTCCAGTACAACATCCGCCTGAGCAGACTTCTTGCAATTAGAGTTACCTGGTCACTGTTATTTCATGAATCTGCTATCTTTAAGTTAGGGGGAAAATTATTATCTTGATCTGATTCTGCTATTAAAATGTCCTTCAATCAATATAAATTAACTCACGTAAAGACGAAGATAATGAACAATAATCAATGTCATAAATGCGGTAGACAAATCGTATCATGTACACAGACACCTTACGCTCAGCGCTACCAATGTTATCGTTTAAGTGTTGGATATGTAAAACTCTTTTCATTGTCATTCCTTACTATCATAACAAATACAAGCACAGACCCTGAAACGTGCTACTACCCCACACGCACGGTGCACAAACGGTACACGCTCGCTAGTACACGGTTTGCACGAAACGCTGCACGGTTTACACGAAACGCCACACGGTTTGCACGAAACGCTACACGGTTTACACGAAACGCTTTGCACGAAAGGCTGCACGGTTTACACGAAAGCCTGCACGAAACGCTTTGTACACGATTCTCGCACGCTTTGGCCTCAATCTGGATTTTCTATTCGGAATCTCTCGGAATTTATATAAATTATTAAGGATTAATCGAAGATTAGTTAAGAATTGCAATCATTCAGATGAAGTTAAGATTAAAACTCGCTACACCATTACTATATTAACAGATAAAATGTTCAATATTCAGTTGTAATTAATTAATAGTTGTCACTGAGTATATGACCCGCCCGGTGAAATGCCTATCATCGTCTATGTACAAACCTTTTTCACTAGACTCTAAATTACGCACTGAAAAAAAAAAAATATATTTGTTATTCATAATCTTTACAGCATTCAATGTTTTTACAATTATAGTTTAATATTAAAAAGTCGTTTCATTACTGACAAATAAACTCAGTTATTGATTTGAGAAAAATTTATATATCGATTAAATTGCGTATGATTTCTGAAAACGGATTGGTTTTCTTTTCTTTTTTTTTAATTATTGATGGATTTATTCATTTTTCGATTTAGTAAAAAGATAATTTCATTTGATTAAATAAGGTTCTATTTATAATTTGCAAAGGTAATATGTACACTGCATCAAAAAAGAACATTGTGCAGGGAGGGGGGGAGGGGATAGATTGTCGAGATCTTACTTCTGTACATGTACATGGATGGCTAAATATAACGGGACTTGTTTCAGAAAGTATACCTTTGGGAAAAAAATTATTATAGAAACAAATGCCCGCTCTAAGAAAAAAAAGGATATCCATATCTCTAGCGGACCAGATACATGTAATTCATTAAATGCACTTTATTCAGAATGGTAGATATACATGTATCGTTTCATTACAGAATTAGACTTTGATTTATCATTAAAATTTAATATGGTAGAGAAGCCGGGGGAAATGTATTGTAATTCTTTAGTTCCCTTTTGAGGCATTGTGTTTATCAAATAAAAACAAATTCAATATACCCACCACCTTGTAAAATCCTGATTTCAAACCCCGTCTAGACAACAAAAATGTAACAATCAATAGTCGCGGCTCTTAACAATACATTGAATATACATGTACAAATGTCCAATGTCCTAAAAACTAAAATTAATGCTCTAGAACTGCGTGATTAATAACACAACTAAAATAATATTATTCAGGATTTATTTCTTTAATTTTTTTTTTATTCACGAATGCACTGGCAAATTAATTCACTGTTTACAGACAATCTGATAAATTTAAGAAATAAAATCCACGTGTATTTGTACCCATTAAATACTAATAAAACCATTCAATTTTACGAATTAAAAATCAATCGTTATTGTCAGGTGTCATCTTAGCCATGATTGACAAGAGATAATAGGCACGCGAAGCCCGTGATCGCTGTTATAAATGACCTTGATCACAGTCGTAAGAAGAGAGTTGGAAGTATAAAGAAGATTCAAATATATTTTTTAGGGGTGCAACGGGCGCATCCCGGAAAAAGCAATAATTTTCTTTAAAAAGAAAATTATCTATAAAAACTTACTAACAACAAATACTCAAAGTTTGTGTTTTCCATTTGAACACCCCCCCCCCTCCCCCAGGAAATATTTCACCCTCTATTTGGATACATGTGAGTTATGATTTATTTATATGGTAATCAT